GCCTCGCTCCCCGCCGCCTCCCGCCGCCCCGGTAGCCGCGGCGGGCAAGGCCACGCCGCCGTGGGTGCCAGCGCCGTGGGTGCCAGCGCCGTGGCCTCTTGGTGGTGGCACACGCTCGGTTCCCTGCTTCCCCCAAAGATGCCTTCTCATCGCTTCGGGCTCCTTAGGGACGTCGCTGTTGCCTTTCTAGACTAAAGGTTACTTTTTCAGACGTGTTTTTGTGTCCCTGAAGCCCTTTAAAGGTGTTGGGGTTTTTTTCCCTCCCCTTCCCCCTCCCTTTCTCCCTAGGGAACGTGTTCTTTGAGGCTGTTCTTTGCAAGTGTCAGTTGGTGATTTAAGTTGGGAGGTAGGGAAACCTAGAGAAACGTAGTGCAGGCAGGATAAGGGACAGCTTTGTAATGTGCAAACAGCCCTGTGTCTGTGCTGCACCTCTCTCGTCTCCTGTGTTGCAGATTCTGATGATTTATTAGGTTTTTAGTTTAAACAATAAATCGGCTAAAATGCTTGACACGTGTTGAAGATGTTGAAAAAACGGTGCGATTTCTGGCTTTGGCATTATGTTGTCGTTAGGAAAGCTGAAGTGGAAGTTGTCCTCTTCTGCTTCATCTCTCTGGAATCTGGAGACTATATTATTCCTTGTTTTATTTTGAGGGGACTTGCCTGCAGTGTCTGACAGCTCACAGGCTGATTAGAATTTAACTGAGTCATGGCACTATAAATGTTCAGAGATACTGTAAAGCTTTATTTAACAAAGAGTGCGAATCCGGTCTTCAGAGACCCGCGGGGAGGAAGCAGTCACTTGTGGAAAGGGGGGTGGTGTATCCCTGAGCCAGTGGTAGAAAACGTTTTTCTTTAATACTCAAATGCAATTCACTGTTTCTGGGGCTGATTGAACACACTGGGAGGTGACACATGAAGGTGCCATATGACAAAAGCTTTCTGAGCTGAGGATAAGTTGTGGTTAAAATCTGATATAATGGCATCTGAGTAATTGTTGCTATACGGGTAGCAAGAGTTGACATCTTGGAGAGCAAAAGTTCTCTTTCAGAACGATGTTCAGGCAGATTTGGGGCTTCTGCAGTCTAAGGCAACTGTCTTCCCAAACTCATGGTTGAGAAGTCTAACTTGTTATTTTATCAGTGGTCTCTTGACATAGAGTTGGCATTGACACTCCAAAGCAAGACACCAAGTGTGTCATGAGTGAAATGCATATGTAAGGCTGTTCGTTTCGTGTTGAGTGAGATGGAAGAGGTAACACATAGTGACTGTGTGTTTCAGGTAGGGGTTAAATCTGACCCCCTCTTAGGCTGGCCTACAGCTCTGAGTTATCTAATGAGTGAGAGCTGTCAGTGGGTTTCAGACCATGCATACACAGAATATAAGATGCTGTCAAACTGTACTGGATGGATTTTTTATTTTCTTTCTATTAAAGGTAGAAAATTACCAGATGAAAACGTGCGCTTCCTTTCTGTTCCCTGTACTTGTTTCCCTTTCTCAAGTGAAAGGTGTGCTAATCAAAATCGGAGGAAAATAAAGTAACTATAACTTATTATAGTCATAAAAACTATGTTGATAAAGAAGTAAAAGTGAAGTAATGTTTTTGTACTGTAAACTTAAAGCCAGTGTTTGTCACCAATTAATCAGCTGCAGTGTTTGATAGCTGTGTTGAGGGTGAATCTGTTCTGTAAAAGGCACTGAGAAATTTTTTTTAATATGATTCTGTAAAGGTTATAGAACTCAAACATGAATTAACTTTATGGTGATCATATTTGCCTGTAGCTTTTGCTTAATGAGGGATTGGTTTAAAAGAATTGACAAAGACTTGCTTGCTTAAAGCTTATTTTGTCTTTTCAGTGCTGGATTTATTTTTCTGGCTTTGAATGTTGGCAAAAGGTTTCTGTAATCCGGCTGTATTATTGTTAGTGGTGAGGGCACTGTTAATTTTACCAGTGACAGTGCGGGACATTACTATGTTAAAAGATAAACTGTTTTGCGTTGTGCCCAGCACATGTATAAACTTGCCCAAGGCAAAGCCAGGGAGTTGCATTTCCCACAGTCAGCTGTCTTGCTCAGGGTTGTGCTTGACAACTCCTTGCAGGGCTGTCAGAAGACATGAAGGCTGTAATATTTTGTTACTTTTAGAATGGGCCTTCAGAACTTGACTGAACCTCAAAACCCCAGTGTCTTGCAGTATTTTTTCCTGTATACGAATGTATGGGGAGCAGAGGGGTTCCGGAAGAGAGACTGGGGAGGGTGTGGGGTTTCCAGCTGGGTGCCTGGCGTGGGGCCACCAGCCCCTTTGCGAGTGGGGCTTGGGTGGCCAACCTCCCACACGGAGGGCCTGCGGGCGGGGGAGGCTGGGCTCAGCCATGCTTTCTCCCAGCTGCTGGGGCACACGTCGAGCGATAGGCTGGGTGACGAGCAATAGGTAGGATAAATGGGATAACTATCCTATGGATTAAAAAAGGATAAATACCCTTTTGGGACAAGAAGTGCAAATTCTGAAGTATAAATCATTACTGCTCAGCAGGGGTTTAATGACAAGGCAAGTGGAAAGATAATGTAGGTAGGGAATGAAGCCTGAACAGGAGGAAAAGGTATGATAGAATATGCTCAAATGTACAAAAAGATAAAAACCATAAACTTGACAGTCTGTATAAACAGTCTTAAACTAAAGACAAAAAGGTTAATGGTAGCAGCATTTGTGGTTTGCTCTTTCTTCCTGCCAGCAGGCCAAAACGATAAGAGCAGTAACTATCTGAACTGCGCTGGCCTGCCTATGGCAAATAAGAGGAAAGTTATGAGGAAAGTATTTAAAAGGCTTGTGGTGTTGATTTTGGATGTTATAGTGTTAGGGTTTTGCTTTGGGTGGACATCTGTGATCGCATAGAAGCTTTCTTATATCCTCTGATGGGAAGATCCGCCTCAGAAAAAGCAGGCAGAGAGATTCTTTTGGTAAAGATGAATGCCTACACTTTAGTGTTTCTGGATTATTTATTTCAAATACTTAGAAATGTTAACGGACCTATTTAGCACTTGAAAGAATTAATTTGGTAATTGATTTGGCTGTCTGCTGCAGGTCACTTGGCTTGATGGTTGAAGAAGGAGAATAGGAACTGAGACTCACGTATTCATGTGTAGAAAGGGGAAGAAGCAGTTGCCAGCCATCTCAGTTTGGGTCAGACACCTCCTGGCATAATCTTCTCATATTTAAATTCTTACTGAAGCTCATTGCTCCTGTTTAACTGCCTACCTTGAGAGAAACTATTTTCATACCACTTGTTTCTAAATACTCTTTGCCTTCAGCAGAGGAAAACCAGTTTCGCTTATAGACAAAATCAGATTAAAAGCACAAGCTACAGATCTTCTGTTAGTTGTCAGTTTCTAAGAGGTTGAGTTTAGCGTAGAAAACAAGCTCAGTGTTAGGGAAGACTTCTGGTGGGCTGCCCTTAGATGTCTCAAAGTAAGCTGTGAGGGAGTCATCATAAGAGATCAGGTGCTAGATGTAGAATGTGTTTCAGTCTCCACTGAAAATATTGTTTGAAAACAAATAGGGGAGTATTTAATTTGCCTCAAAGTGCTTAGTGAATTTCTGTGTTGAAATGTGTTTAAGTAGTATATCTTGTTTGCAGAAGAACAGTATTTTTGTTCTCGCTGGTACTATGCTGGTACTGCTGCTCTGATGCTGATTTTTTTTCACAGTGAACTTTAAGATTCATGGCTGTGGGCTTTCTACTTCTCTGTGTCCCACCCTGCTATGAAAATGGAGTGGGAATGGAAATTGAAAAGGCCTTTTTAGTGATGTAGAAAGCAGGACTTGCCTCAAAGGTAGAAAGAAATGATCATTCACATTGTGCTGTTGGCATTATTCATGTCATCACCTGTCCCGCTTTCAGCAGTTTATAATACAAAACAAATATTCAAAAAAACCCTGCAAGATGTGTAAAGCAAGTGATCCAGATCTGAAGTTTTGGGGAATAAAGTATTATTCTTGAAAAGTGGGGTTTCTTTTATGTTTTGAAATAGTGTTGGAGGAATTTGGAATTTTCCCTAGAAAAAACAATTAATTCTTTTGTTCTTTTCTCTGAACTCTTATAAACCTTTTGTAGTCACTTGGAACAATGCAGAAAAGACTGTTTAATGCTGACCTAAAGGAAATCCTGTCTATGCGCTGAACCTTGATGGCAGTGCAGTGCAGGGCATTTGTTGGGTGGTGGGTGTTCCCCCCCCGAAATCTGTCTTCTCTTGGAAATAGGAATACTTAAATAGAACGACTTGTCAGTGGTGGAAAACATTTTGTCTACATGTATAGTATAGAACAGAAATGCTGGTATGAACTATTTTTCTCAAATTAAGGTAGCTTGAAAAGGTGAATGCATTTTTTAAAAAAATGCTGCTTCCTTCTGCTCTAAGGGACCTCTTGTGCCTTTTTTTCCTTTGGTCACAAAAGTTTCCACATCCAGCTTATTTGCCTTTATGGTGAAAATGGGGTCGGGAAGGCTTTGAACTATGTTTATTTTCACATTTGTCACCGTACCTGTCATTTCTCTGTTTATTTTAACTGCAGTGGTAGCTTTATATTTTTTTCCTGATTAAATTCAAATGTTGATGATTGCTACTGTTCAGCGGTGCAAATTTTTTTCTTTTGTGATGTATGTAGGGGAAGGATTTGAAATATGTCTGTATGTAGTATTTCAGGGTATTTACGTATTTTTCGGCTTAATTGGATCTATTGTTTTTGTTGGGTGTTGATGCTGGCAGTAGTCCAGCATGCTCCTGTTATTTCATGTACCTGAAAGCTTTGAGTAGGTCTCTTTTGGATGCTGACCCATCTATCAACACTGGTATTTTTTTCTATTTTCTCCCGTGTAGCACATCGCAGTGGTCAGTTATATGTTTTCTCTAAACTGGCTTTAGCGCAAGTGTTT